CGGTACCGGAGTGAAGCCTCTTGCCCAACTCTTTCTCACTATCTAAGGAGAGAGGCCAATGTTTTCCTCATTATTTTGTGTTTGCTACATACCTCTCCCCCACTGTGACTGTTATTTGACCTGCTGTCTGCTCAGAGACCCGGAGGGGAGGGGAGAGGGAAATGGGGGGGCCAAGTCGTGGCTGGCATTTGACTCCGTTTATATTCATTAGAAAGAAACTGAGAGCACTGAATGTGCAGAAAGCAGCCTCTTTGGACAAGGAAAGACTTTTTTATTCTGTGCAGGAAAGAAGCGGGTCCTTTTGGGTGGGCTGAAAGGGGGCTCGTTTCGGTCAGCAGAATGCTGCTTTTCCCTTCTCTTTTGAATTGGCATGTCACTAATTAATAGACCCTCAACCCAAAGTTTTAATTTAAGGGGAGGTGCCCAGCAGGGGTGCCCTTTTTCACCAATGCTGTTTGCTCTTGCAGCTGCAGTGCTGGCCTGCCTGGTCATGGATAATGAGAAAATACAGAGGATTAGAGGGTGTAAGGGGGGGCGGTAGACAGGCAGATTCTCTACCCCCTCCCTCCACCTAGCTCAGGGGCGGGCAATTATTTTGGGCAGAGGACCGCTTACTGAGTTTCGGCAAGCCATCGTGGGCCACATGACAGGTAGCCCAGGGCAGAGTAATATTAATTTTCTAAATTTTTTAGGGGCCCCGTATGCCAGATAGAATGGCTTGGCGGGCCACAACCCGGCCCCCGGGCCACATTTTGCCCACCCCTGACCTAGCTCTTGATGCAGACTTGTACCCTTTGTATGCCTGACAGGGCCCAATATAGTGTTGCCCATGTGTTTAGTCGAGCTTTCAATAATAGTATTGCTTCTCAAAATTAACCGGGGACAACTCATCAGGATGGCCTGTCCGGTCTCAGAGACCAAATGCACTTCCAAAACACCTGGGCTCTCCACACAATCGAAACAAAACCCTGCGGTGAGAAGCCTTTTCAAAGCAGATGCCGTGCTCAAGCTTGCACCCTTGGCTTCAGGAGGAAAATACAGTCCCAGGTTAATCTCCACGAGCAGGGAGTTTGGAAACCATCGTGCCGATAGCGCTCCCCAAGCGCAGGCGCGTCTGCAGAGATCTACCTCCTACAGAGGAGGCGCAGTGCACCCATTGATAGATCTCTGCTGATTTACACAAGGCAAGGATCAGGCCTTGGGATTGGCAAGTGCCTTTTGCCCAATCTGGGCTCCCGTCTACACAGCAGAACCGAGAGAGCATCCAAACGCAGGGATAAGATGCCCTTCCAACATTTCCGACCGAACTCGGATCGTTCCTAGAAGTTGCTGTTTCATAGGGTGGTTTCTGCCTTTCCTCTCTCTCGTATTGAATCCAGCCTTTCAGGTTGCAAACAAATTGTAGAATTAAGTCGCCCTTTCATATTGCCATCCACCTGAGGCTTGCAGAGTAGTTGACGTGCAGTAAGGCGTTCGGGCTTACAACCACCCGGTCGAGTACATTAGCCACCTTGCTTTGCAGATCAGCGAGCTGAAATACAGTGACGTTAAGAGGCTCGTCCCAGGTCACATGAAAAAGCTGTACAGAGGCCTCAGGAGTTCAACTGCTTATCGTTGCGCTTTCACCACGAAACTCCCCTTAAGAGAGCTGTATTTGGGGTGCATTTGTATCATGTCTGCTGCAGGTCTGACAAATTCTTCTCTTTTTTTTTTTTTTGTCACGTTATTGAATATACGTCACTGTGTTGTGTTGCACATTGGATCTGGCATGGGCCTGTGCTGGATAGTTAATGAGACTGTATTATAAGAATATATATACATACTGACACTGTATATTTAGTTGAGCTGTGACACTTGAGTCACAACAGGACTGTGAATTCTTCCTCTTGAATTCACTGTTGAATTCTTCCTCTTTTGGCTCATCTAGGACCCAATCAAACTCCCCTATAGATCAGCAGAAAACATTTAGTTGACTCCCACGTGTGTTTGATCAGGCCCTGGCTGAAAGTGGCTCTCACCTCCCCGTGTCCACTTATTTCACTGTGCACACCGATCTGTTGGATTTACTGTAAGAACGAACTGTGTGAGCAAGTGTTGGGATAAGGTTAACTAATTTCCAACCCAACGCTGGCTCAATGACTGGACATCAGGGATTAATGCTAAAAGGAAATTATATTTCACCATAAATGAACAAAAGTATTCAGACACAACAGTTACATTCTGCATAGGATTTTAGTGGCTGAAGGGACCTTGCCTTATTAAGACTGTCCTTTCCAAATGCTATACCTAGCTACTCCTCATTCTGGGTTTCCCCCTTCAGCCTTTCAACGTGCGCAGACCTTGGCTAGACGGGAACAGTCCTTTCGCGCACAGGAGCTTCCTTAGTGGCCCTTCGGGGAAGGATCAGCTGTCAGGCGAACAAGCTGCTTCGATAGTTCGAAAGCACCAGCCATCCAATGCAGTGAGGAAGGGGAAAGGCAAAGTCTCCATAAAAAGTCTTAGCTACTGCCCCTTTACGGTAATTTTTAAAACTCCCATTCCTGAAATCAATCCCCATTGTTCTTCCGGTTTCTGTGAGCAGAGTGGGGGAAGGATGGGGCGAGAAGTGCTGCGCCCGGGTCGGAGCAGTCTCTGGGTCTTATGGAAACAGCAATTCAATCCTAAACCTAGGAGCAGATTTAACAATCAGATTCTACAGAATTAGACATTGCATAAACATTTCACGCTTTTTTTTGTTTCTCCTTCCAGGAGTCCATAGTTTAGCCATTCAGTCCTGTGCAAAGGTCGTGTTGTTATGGGTATGGCCTGCAAGAAATGTGTTGCCTCAGAGCTGCACAAGTCACGCGGACAGGACAGGCTAACAGCCAAGACGGCTGATTCACAATCTTGTCAGGATTTTGCTGCTTGTGTTGGCTTGACTGCAGAAAGAGTCTTTGCGTCACCAGGTCTATGTTCGCCCTTTAAAAGTGTTCATGCAGGTGTAGCTTCCAGAAAACTTGTGGATTTCTTCAAGTGCCGACTGCGGGAGAATGCTGCAGGGGAAGCAGAAGGAAATATAAGCCCGCTACGCAAAACTTATTAGAGGACATGTGTCAACACACACACACACACACACACACACACACACACAGAGTGTAGTTGCATTGGCTATTGGGAGCAGGAGGCAGGAAGGCATTTCAGCATCTATCAGGCAGAAGCATCGAGGGCCCTGTCCTGCACTGATCTCAGGAATACGACGTTACTCTGCAGTTGGCACGCCTAAGCCCTAGGGTAAAAAAGGGCTATGCAGTCTCTTTCTAGAAAGAAACAGCTTATTAAATAGGCCTTGAAAGAAATCTGTTACCATTAAGATGTCACCTTTTAAGTCCCCTAAGTCGCAGGATCCTGTTCGATATATAAAACCTGAGATCTCCTACTGAGACTCAGGCTGGACGTTTCTCTTGATGTCTAGCCCTCTAAGCATTTAGCTTTCTCATCATGTCACGCTGGTATTTTTGTCGCTATTCTTTTGTTGGCTACCGGGTTGCTGAAGAGCTGCTGTACTGTTCTGATGATAAATGACCTTTTCTTTCCCTCCCCGGCAACCATAAAATTTGCACTTGACTTACAATACAGGGTCAATCTATAATTGGGTCCCGAACACTGCCGATTTTTGACTTGCAGCAGTTTTGTGCATGCCATAAATAAACCACGTTGGGATTTTTTTTTTCCCAGCACAGCTCTTATTTTAGTACTTTTGGTGCATTTAAACCATTGTCAAGGTTTTTATCTGTAGTTACGAATGTATATTTGGTGAAAAAACTGTTTTTCCTCATCTTGAGCCTGAAAATATGAGGGAAACTTTTAAGCATCGGGTTGATTTCAAATGGGAACAATTTTGTCCCAATTTTGTTAAGAGTAATTCCTAATAAAATAGAGAGCTGGCAGAGAACTGCGGCTTCTCTGCTTGTAGGATCTCCACGAAATTATTGAGATTGCCCCCCATAAATGCGTTTCTTATGCCAGAAGGCAATCAGGACTCATAGTAGAGATATCATCTTTTATTAGACCAACATGATTTTTGCAAAAAAAATTCTTTAATTGGAAGCTTTTGGCCACAAACACCCTTCATCAGGCATTGGAGAAAAGTTTGTAAAAGTTCTCCTGGGTAGAAATGAAAGTTCATATTTAATCGGATTTCACAGAGGAGTCAATAGATGGAAAAGGCCTCTGGGCAGGCAGTTCATAGCTGGTATAGCATATTTTCTCATGCCAAAATATTTAATGATTTATTTGTGAATTTTGCCTTTCTATCTGAAATGCGGGGTTTCTCACTTGGTTGTGATTGGCTACACGAATCACAGGACACTGTGTCAGTTCTCTAATTGGACGACCTACACTTTCAGAAGGGTTTTGGTATAACTCCCCAAAGGAAGCTCACTAGAAACTTGCTTTCCTCACTGGCTCAGTGTGAGAGGCTGGGATTCCCTTTCTGGAAGCAATTTGAAATTCACCTAAAAAGGTAATTTCATGAAAAAAATAAGTCATTACTTTCCTTATGATTTCCTTTATTTTTTTTTATGTTCTCCTGGCTTAATGGAAACAGAAGAGAAAGAGCGGGCTCTACACATAAATGGTGAGATGCCTATTTTATGTATGTTGTTGAATGCCTGCAGTCTGCAGAGAGGGGCTTGAACTAGTTAACCAGGCCGTTTTCTGGAAATGAATGATCAGAGCAGATCTCGGCTCTCTGAGTTTTGGGTGCTGAATCTGCTTCCAGACTGGGGACATGTACCCCGGGGAGATGTCCCATCTCAGGAAAACTCTGCAGTCAGCCTCGCCACGTTTCCTCCTCGTCACTGATGCCCGCTGTTTCCCGTGGGACTGAACAACCTGACTTTTGATCATGACTGTATCACGCGACTGCCCGGGTGAGGTTTGACTTAGTGGACAGAAAAAAGGACCGTCTGCCTAAAAGGCAATATGAGGAGGTCAGGCAGGTGCGAACAACAAAAGAAATGACTGACCTTTTCAAGATGACAAGGATGTTCATTGTCCAAGGCAGGAGAAGCAGGGCTTGGTTCATCTGAACGGCTTCCACTGTCCTCCTGGCCACTGTCTCTGGCTTTAGAGGAGGGAATAATTTGGGAAACCTGAATGAAAAAAAGAAAGAAAGAAACTGCTTACCTGTGGTTTTGGGTACGACAAACCAAGGCCCTTTTGCTTCCTGAGCTATTGGTGGCCACTGGCATACGAATACCTGCCCCCCCTGTGTTGGCAGGGAGGGTAAGTCTCTGACCCTGCCACCCTCACACCTGTCAGCACAGCTGGGCAGGCGGCGGGGCGGAGGGAAGGCAGGAGAGGCCACAAAGACCCCAATGCAGGGACCTGCTCAAGCAATATTCTGCATAATACTGCTGGAAACTTAAAGCCACAATCCTGCCATTGCAGAGGGTCTACTCTCCACCCTCTGCTTGGTTTATCGGCAGGTGAAGGATGAAAACAGCTGCTCCCTGTTCCCTTTGGTACCAATAATATGCCTTCCTAATACTAATGATGATATTCATAAATGCCACGGATGCACAAACTGCATGAACGGTTCACGCAGGGAGCTTCTGCTCCAACCCAGGTAAAAGTAGATTTGGTTAGTCATCAGCCTCTGATTTGGGTTTGCTTTCACAGGAGCTTGCAACAAGGTGCCCGGGAAGTTCTCACTGAAGTCAATGGGGCTGCCGCCATCACTTTGGCAAGGAAGAGCTGATCCCTTCCACGGCAATGAGGAAGGGACTGGATTTGGGCTGCAGATCCCCAAGGACTGTGCAGATTTTTCTCCTCTCTGAAGCGCCTGAGCGGTCAGTTTGTTTTCTCTTGCTGACTCACCCCCCCAGCCCATGCAACTTTGCTTCCAGTTTTCTCTGCAGAAGCAACTACTCGGAGGACGCCCTTTCCTAGTGAAGGCAGGCTAAGCAGTACATGTCAGGGAGCATGAACGTGCCAGCAAAGCTCAAGAACCAGTCTGATGAGTTCCAGGTGGCCAAGAGTGACCCTGTGCTCCCAGGCAGCCAGATGGGACATCAGATTCTCTTAACTAAACGAGGCATTAATTAGGAGTGTGTTCTGGTGATTCATTCAAAATGAGATGCTTTGCCCCAGCTCCTGTGGACTGACCTGATTCTCATGCCTTGAAACATCTCTGTGCTGGTGTGGAAAGGCAGCACTGTGGTAGCATTCACTCCGGGGCAGTCAAGCAGCCCCAAGGTCAAGCTCTCCATGAAGGCAAAGGACGACGCTTTGGAGGTGCAGTAGTCGATGGCCCCAGGGATGGCTGACAAGGCCAAGACAGAATTCAAGCAAACGATGTGTCCGTTCTGCAGCTCCAGCATCCGGGGCAGGAAAGCCTTGGTGGTCTGGAGAAGAGTGAAGAGAAAACCTTTGTTAAGCAGCGATGCAGCATGAATCCCAGCCCCTGGAAAAACAAGCGTGGTCACATTGCGACAAACTGGGGGTCTTGTTGCTCCTGTGACTGTTTGCAAAAGAGGTGAACTTAAGCAGACGGCCCAAAAAATGCATCAAATCCCCAAGCCAAACAGCATCCAGAGGCCGCAAAGTGTGCACGCTGTACGTTTAGGAATGACAAAAGCTTGGGTGACACCAGGAATGACAAATAACTGCTTTTGTGTTCATCTAATTAAAAACCAAATAAGCATACTGCAGGCTCCATAGCTGTGCATCTGGTCACGCTTCTCGCATGTTCCAGATGTGAGCTGAACAGAGAGAGCCTCCTCCGTGGGCTTTAGTTTTCTCCAAGGGACTCGGGTTTGTTCTTGTAACGCTCAGAGTGGGTGTGAAAGAGCATCAAATACTGTATAATTACTGGAAGCCTTTAGTATGCTATTTTTGAAGAAGGAACTGAAGTCAATTTGAAGGAATCTGTCAAATTCAATTTTTTTCTCAGACCCCTCTCCTCTGGCCTCTGCCCTTCACGTTGTTTTTTCTGGCTTGTTTTCATGTCGGGCTGATCTTACTGAGAACCGTTTAGAAAGATCTAGCAGGAGAGCCGCGTTTACTGGCTGCAAGCTGTCACTCTCGTTTCCAAGTCTGACTACGCGGGATACGGGAGCTTATCTTACCCAGAACTGTCCCAGGGTGTTTATGTGTTGGGATTTGAGTAGCGCGTCGTCGTCGCTGTCCATCAGGCTCTTTCCGTGAACCACGGCAGCATTGTTCACGAGGATGGTGATATCACCCACCTGGAAAAAACAGGAAAGGCAAAAGGATTAGGGAGACAATGGGTTACAGCAAACCCTCCCTCTCACAACTGCTACGCTCACTGTTGGCCTGTCTACGAAAGTCTGCATCCGTGTCCTCTGGCAGTCTAACATAAGGGGCCTTGTAATCCTGCTGGCTGCTGCAGCGTGCCCTTGGACAAATGAAACTAGCTGAGGCACGGATACCGACTTCTGCACAGATGCGTGCTCCCTTTCCTCCGAGGCAGGTTCACAACAGGTTATTTGGGGACCAACCAGTGTTTTTAGAAACAAAGACAAAGCAGAGCGAAAAACATGTCCCTTACAAAGAGAGGGTAAGAGGAGGGCGGGAGGCAGCTGGAACAAAAGGGACCGGGTTTTGATAAGGATTTTAAAAGGCAGTGTCCTCAAAATCATCAACTAACTACCTTTACTGGGTGCATGCTGTGTTTGTCCCTTTGTAATTCTATAGTTTGCAAACTGTAGTTCAGTCTTAGTGCTATAAAGTCATCTGGATACTTTCAGAAAGGTGAAAAGCTGGATTCAGGATGGGACGTTGATTTTTTTCCACCCACGAGTTGTCCATCTCAGCTCTTTCCCCACTGAACTCTTTGGCTACAGCCTCAAAATCCAAACTTCATGTAACTCGAACTCTGCTAGGCTTGCGTTTTGCATCGGTGTCATACCCGTACAAAATTAGTGTGGAAGGTTACCACTGGAAATGAAGTCGGATTTGGTAGCAGCGTTGTGTCAGCTTTGCACAGGGGTAACTGTCTGCCCAAAGCAAGAATCGGGCTCTGTCTTCGCTGCCATAGGATCTAGGAGTTTAAAGGCCAAGCCATTCACAGAAAGATACAGATTCTCTTCTTCCCGGTTTCTTGGAGGACACTTCCCACTTGCTAAAGATGGATGGGTTTTCCCTGCTCTGCCCAACAGCAGATTCACCCTAAAGACCAACCTTTTCTCGGACAGCTTTGGCTTGCTGATAGACCTCCTCTCTGTTTCCCACATCGCAAATGAAGTAATGGCACTCTGTTCCCATTGTCCTGATCTCCTCTGTGGTTTCCTTCAGGCACTTCTCCGTTCGACCCCACAGGATGATCTGCAGCAAAGGACATTTGTAAGAATCTGGACGGTTCCTGCTTTGAATCTAAAACAATTAAAATCTGTTTCTAATTCCAACAATTGGACAAGGAGCTCGAGTCGTGTTTGCACGGCCTGTTCCGCCACATTGTTTGCTTTAGGGCGAGCACTAAATGATTTTTAAACAACGACGCTTATATGCAGCATGGGGGTAGGGCCACGCAGCAGTGGAGGGTGCTTAGTGTTTCTCTGTGATAGTGGTCTGTGCTCCGTACCCAGCAAACGTCCTTGATTTGCAAGCAGCTCTCTGAACTGGTAGCCTGCTGGTGGCATCCTGCAATAAATAAACGAACCAGTCCCAGGAGCAATTATTTTTTGAACAATAATTTTTCACACCCACAGATATGGGGGGTGAACTTGGGGTGGAAAGTCATTTTTAACCCTAAATATGCTGTGGAGATGTCAGAGCAGTGATCCAGCTTTCTTTTGTTGTCCTACGTTGACTACTAGGCTTTGTCACTGGTCCATAGCAAGGTAAAATAGTTTAGTCGGCATGCCAAAAGTAACAGTTTGGAGCACTGATAACTTGCAGACTGTTATTCTAGGTGCATGCAAACTGCAGGCTCACTCTAAAATAATGTTGTGGTTTTACACTAAACCCACAGGAGCAAGGATATTTGCCAACTAGGGAATTCAGGCGAAGATCAGTCCATCAGCTTTGTCCCAAACTAGCCTTGAGAGCCTCATAGCACCTCCCGAAATATGCCCAGAATAATCCTGTAACACAGGGGGCTGTAAGGGGGGAGTGTTAAAATGCAGCAAGAAAGAGGCATTTTTCAATTAGTGGCTTCAAAGTGTGTTTTACATCCTTTTGCTAGTAATATAGGCTAGATCTCTTCTATGGTATTTGCTTAGCAAGCTGAGTTAAACACTTCAGGATAGAAAATTTCCAGTGAGAAGACTTCTAACAAGTCTGAAAGGCTATGTGAATAAAAAAAGACACAGATTTGATCTCTAATGAAGACACAACAGGGAGAACCTTGCTCTGCAGCTCTATAAGATCAGAGACATTTCGATGTGGAAAGGACCGAACTAGTCATCAGTTCATCTCGCAGTGCAGGGCTGTACCCAGCAGTACGTTTCCTAGTGACTCACACAGTCTCGTTTTAAATGTCTCAAGTGAGTGACGGGGCTTTCACCACTTCCTTTGGAGGTTTAATCCATAGTTTAACAGATCTCACTGACAGGCAGACTTTTTTTCTCCCTCTCTTTTGCTACACAGCTTAAATTTCCCCTTTCTTTCAAAGCACTGGTAGTGGGTGGGTTTCCACCTTCCCAGATTCTCCCCCATTCTACCGCGGACAAGCAACCTTTGCATCCTCCACGACATTGCAAGTTGATATTCACTCCTCGTTTTGAAAATAGCAGAACGACCAAATGGGGTGTGCCCATACCCGCATTAAAAGCACTGACATTTTCAAGAGCCAAAAGGCAAAGTAATCAAGAGATGAAAAGCAAAAAAAAATTTAAAAAATACCCCCAGTGCCTACAAGTGAAGGTTTGACCACAGAAACTTCCACAGCAGATAATATTTTCAATGCAAAATTATTGTTTAGGATAAAAATATGAGACAGGAAATTGTCAGGGCCAAATGCTTCCCTCGAGAGGAGCCTTCTATATGGAGAACTGGAAAATTGGGCTTCGAACAGAAAGGACTTTGTAATCTTAGTGATGGCTAAGATGCTTCTGAGCAGGGACCTGATCTTCTGGAGCACAGCGTCGTCTACTACTTGGGGTGAATCTGACTGGTGTGGTGTTGTTTTTTTTAAAAAAGGACACTTTGCCTTTAAGATGTTAGCAGTCTTTTGACTTTTAGGTATCTAAGTGTTGAAAAGAGCAAGACAAAAGGTACAGAGGCTGAATTACATAACTGCCTGTAACTCAATCCCCGGAGTCAACGGGATGACTCTCGTGACAGCACGAGGAGCCAGAACGTACAGCATTTCCTCCCCACGATCAATCTCGGGAGGGAAGTTTTCTCTAAAGCAACAAGCAATCTTTAGGAACTGTGCTTGAGCCTACCTCACTGTAAGTACAAGGCCTGATTTTCTTTTACAGCCAATGCCCTTCAAATGCAGCCAAAAAAGAGAGAAAAGAGCACCCAGGTCTGATTCAGCTTCCTTAATTAGTTAAATTTGAAAACTAAGCCTGTTCTTTAAACCATGGGGAGGGGGCGGCTTTTATATGCATCTATATAAACACATGCACCTGCAGACCTAGCAATAAATAGAGATGCCAAGGGACTTCTGAAGGGACCATTGTTTCTTTGGAGGGGTGTTGAATACGCTCAGTTTGGCTTCACAGTCAGACAAGGTGCTGAATTGCCTTCAGACCTGCTCAGAGTTGCACTTTCATGCCCCATTTGCTGCAAAGGGATAACCAGAAGATACAACAGTTCAAATGTTGTTCAATGACTCCTATATCAATGCTGATTCAGAGAAGCAATTGAGCCCATGTTCTGTTTGGCAGTAGTATGTAATGGTAAAGCATAAACCCACGTTTCACTGGGTTTGCTCTTGGAAAAAAAAAGAAATACAGGAGGTAGCTTCAGTACTAGGAAAGTGGGTGATTAGGAAGAGACTTCAGAGCAGCCAACGCCGGGCCTGAGCCCTATTGTTGGAAACCTTGGCTCAGGCAGGAGGTGGTATGCAAAGAGAAATAGGTCTCTAGCTTTAATGAGCTTTAAGTAAATAGCCAGTCCTACTAAAACCTTGAATCAGTACAGTATGCGTTCGCACTTTTAGAGTGGTCTCCTAGTCAGCCCCACAAGACGACCTTGTATCCTGTTATCATGAACCACAGAGAGCTTTAAAGAGGATTGCCCCACTTCTAAGAGGACTTTGCTGAGTTCTTGCCACTGAGTACATGGACTCGTGTGGGCCCTTTCCTATGCTTTGCGGATGTCCTGTTCACTCCTGGTCTCTGCCCTACTCCAGCTCCCCAACCCTGGGTGCCCCACGCAACTCTCATGGCACCTCCCCTTGCTGGACGTCAACCTGAAGAACGTGCGTTATTCTAGGCCAAGGAGCACCTCCAAATGGGTGAGGTGTCAGCATCCAAAGTTCAGGGGATGACCGGTTTTAAAAATCAGTTTCCGAAATTGGTGGAGGGGTTCAGGACTCTGGATGCCCCAGTGTTTCGGGGTTGGGGCATCTGGGATGCTGCTGTGGCCCCCCTTTCTTCCAGTGAATAAGAGCTGTCTTCTAACCCGGTAGCTAGACCCAAGAGGTAGCGCGTTTCTCGAGAGCGGGATAAATGCCTGCCTGCGAGAGGGATGCGATGGATGGCAGGAGGCAGAGAGATCCCGTTCCTTATTCCACGGCACGTCCGGCGGTTGCAGGGCTGCCCGTGCATGGTTATTTGGAGGGTGGAGGGGGAGGAAATTGTAATCCCTGCCACGAAGATCGTCTTGGATAGCTGGTTTCCCATCCTGGAAAGAATCCAGCCACTGTGGCTTTTTCCCTCGGCCCCCCGGGAAAAGACCCCAGCCACTGTGGCTTCTCCCTTCGGCTCCCTCCTGCCTGCCCCCTCCCTACCACGCTAGACACGCTCTCCTTTCAAAAAGTTACTGACCAGAAAATTGTCGAGGGCAGCAGCCCAGCGAGGCGGTTAATCCCCGCTGGGGCAGAGCTGCTCACGGAGGCTTCCTGCCCTGCGGTTACCTCTAGGTGACCCCAATGGTGGGCAGTCAGGGGGGCAGGTGGGATGTCAAAGCAATCGCGTGGGCTGCAGGCTGCTTGTGTCAAGCCGGGAGGGTGCGGGCAGCGGCGGAGAGTTTCTTCCTACTAGCCGACATCTGAAATATCGGGAGATTTACGACAGCAGAGGCTTCCCTTGAATTGCCCCTGAAGAAGCTAATGGCTGTGACATCACAGATCACTGCCGATTTTCGCAGGATTTATTCTCCGGTTTGGTTTGCAAAACAAAGCTGATCGTTTTATCTCTACTACCACCCCCGCCCCCTCCCTGTCCTCCCAGGCAAATCACAAAACTCCTTATCTAGCCATAGGAAAATCATTTCAGGCAGAGTAGTAGGCACAGTAGACACCCCTCCACTCCCCACAGACTCGTAGGCATCCTTAAGTCTGAATTTTAATGTGCTAATGAGACAGGCTCCTGGGTGGGAGGGGAGTGAAAGAGGCTCGTCTTAAGGAGAGCGTGTTTCACCAAAGGCTGCAGCATCGACCGCTTGCTGGAAGCCTAAAGGGAGTCGATGGGAATTAGGCTTTCAATTTCCAGAGAAATATTGGGGGCCTGATTTGTAGTAACTGGTTCAGATTTCAGACCCCGAACACAGGTAGGTGACCAGCCCCAAAGGGCTTGCCTATCCCACGGCAAGAGCAGGTGCCAAGAAGGGTGCGTCTGAGCACGTCCTACCTGCCTGAGTCTGCAGGCATGCTCCGGGCACTTTGGCCCAAGAAGCTGGCGAGATGATCTATAGCTTATTCCCAGCTTGTGGAGGAGGCCTACTAGGAGTTTTCATACGGTGGAAAGCAGAATAAGAACAGGACAAGACTTCTATTAGAACAAATAAAAGAGCTTGCAAAAAAAAAAAAAAAAGGAATATTTTAAAGAGAAGCAGACACGTTGCTGCAGGGCAGATCTATAACCCTAGGCCTTTAGATAGAGACTACAGGGGTTTGCAGTCAGTTCTGCATGATTTGCAAAGCTATTGTTTAGCCAGGTTTTTTTTTGCTAGCATAAGCAAGAGCAACACCAGAGAAATATCAGGAATAAAAATGTCCCTCTATTTTCAGTAAATTCAACATGTTGTATCTGTCTTTTGTCTCTCAAGCAACCTCTTCATTAGGCTATGGCTAGATATGAGGCCATATCCAGAACGTTTCTGAGGGAAAATATATACTATTTAACACCTCTCATTGTGTGATACACAGGGTGTTTTAAAGGAACAGTGCTCATTTCCTGATCTTAAACATCAGAGCAATGCAGCACAATAAT